TTAACTACTGTATCAACATGTCACACCAATGTTTCACATCCACAAAGTGCAAAAAACGACTTCAAATTGTTAGCTTAAAAAGTGTTTTCCCTTTCAAATAAATGCCACTCATTTGTTATTTTGTATCTAATGCAGTGACATTCATAAATTAACCATCCACATATATTTTGGGACCACATTGTGCATTATGTTTGTGGTTAAAATACCAATAAAACAGTCTGCCTCATCAAATTAACAATCAAATCCTGATGGTTTAATTTTGGACTGCCTCCAAACTATTTCTTCTTCAAAAAAAAATAAAAAATTTGACCAGCTGTATTTAAATGGATAGTTCCCCCAAAAATGAAAGCTTGATGTTTATCTGCTTACCCCCAGGGCATCCAAGATGTAGGTGACTTTGTTCTCCTAATTGAGATTGTAGATAGTGTCTCAATGGTCCATTTGAGAGATAGGTGGCGGTAATGCACTTATAAGTCTGCGTTCTGCCGGCTGTCGAGAATGTGCTCAGGACAGTTCGGACATTGCGTGAATAAGAGGTAAAAAACTATATAAATACTGTTCAGTTTCTTGCACAGACCGATCGTTTTGTCGTTACACATCAATGTATCGTCACGAGCCGCAGGGTTTAATTTGGTTTTGTTTGTGTACGTTTTTTTTTATTCTCAAAGCCGTGATTCCCATTCACCTCCATTATAAGATTGACAGACTGCAACGGTTTGTGTTAAAAATCTTCGTTTTTGTTCTACTGAAGAAACAAAGTCACCTACATCTTGGATGCCCTGGGGGTAAGCAGATAAACATCAAATTTTCATTTTTGGGTGAACTAACCCTTTAAGCCATCACTGACTAATGAAGAAATAACACTTTACTGACGGTTTAAAAAATTTTTTATGGTAATTTAAAGAAATCTGCTATGCACTCCATATAATACAGCACTACAGAAAACTAGCTGAACGTTAAGAAATATCATCCATTCGGCGTAAACTAAAGACCTTCAGTAGGAACTTCTCAGATCGGAGTTATTCATCTGGGTCACACATACACAAAGGATGGGAGTTAGATCAAAATTACTCAGCAACTGAGCAGTGAATTATAGAAGATGGCTTCTAAGGTAAAAAATAAAGTAAAAAGTAATGGGCCGCACATTCTCGAACAACTCTCTGTGATCAAACCCATACATCTTGTTCAACCTTGGTGTGTTTAAAGTGTAAGTAAAATCCCATCAGCCATTGACAGACAGTACAGATGCATGTGCGCTCCGGACTTTCTGCCCTTTATGTTTAATCTATTTTTACTGGCTGGAAAGCGTAAGCTTCATCCGTTCTGAACTAGAGACCTTGGCGAAATCGATGGCATTTCACCCACAATTCACCTATATATAGACGAGAGACAGAAAAGAACTTGAATATTTCAAACAATTTCGAGGAGACGTTACAAAACGAATGCAAATGAAGTTTGTGGGAAAGTCCTCAGGCGTGAGGATACAGTGTGCACGAGGGGAGAACTACATGAGGAGAGCCGGGTTTCTGAAGCTCTGAGCCTCCCACACGTTTTTAGACACGTTTTCGTTCGAGAGTGTGTGTGAGTGTGTGCGTCAAGGATTCTCTTGAGCACTTTGCGTCACACGATTAAACCCACATGCACACCTGACTCCACACATGTATGCAACAAACACACACAGCCACACGCTAATCAACCGCTTGGGTTCGATTCCAAGCTGAAGCAAAAGACACAGGAAAATTGCGTCCATTTTTAGGAGCACAAAGGTCAAGTTAGCCCATGTTGACAAACAAAATCACACGTACTTAAGAAAAGCTTTCTCATGGGTTACAGGAAATGACACTAATATATTAAATCTGTATTGCATTAATATTCAGTGAGAGCTCAATAAGACTTTCTTGGGATTTGGTTTACAGGTGTGAGGTTTTCAGGTGAAATACACTCTTATAAATAATGGTGCTTCAAAAGGTTCTTCACAGCGATGCCATAGAAGAACCATTTTTGGTTCCACAAAGAACCATTCAGTCAAAGGTTCTTTAAAGAACCATTTCTTTCTTACCTTTTTATAATCTGAAGAACCTTCTTTCGCCACAAAGAACCTTTTGTGAAACAGAAAGGTTCTTCAGATGTTAAAGGTTCTTTATGGAACCATTTAGACAAAAAGGTTCTTCTATGGCATCGTGAAGCACCTTTATTTTTTAAGAGTGTATAGGGTCCTCTTGCCAATATATTGCCATCCACCGCCACAATAACCGTCATTCGTGAGGAATACAGGGATTTCTCATGCCGAATGTGTGCTTCAGTAAACTAAAGCAGCATCTCTCCGGTGGCATTTCAAATAGACTCTGCTGCAGCTGCTCAACATGTGTCAAGTGCATTATGTGCCATCTGGGACGAATATAGAAAAAGTGAAAAATCCACCTCATGCACAAGAACACAATTTCACACAAAGGCCTAAAATGGAGATAAAGATCCAGAGAATTTTAGAAGGCAATGCTGCCCTCTCCTGGTGACTAAAAATAGTAAAAAAAAAAGGACCTGTTATAGGATAAAGAATGTAGTTATTGGATAGACACAAGTTTTATGTATTTTTTTTAATGTAGTATTAACAAGATTTCCTATTTAAATTGAAAAATCTTTAATCTTCATATTTTTTTATCATTTAATATTTAGCAGCTTTTTGACTGAATTAAAGGGATTATGTAGCAATGTGACAAATTCATGTTTAAAATATGCATGAATTATTAAGTTATTAAAGCTAAAAAAAAGAATGTAATGTAATAACATCTCCTAGAGATATAATGTTCTCCATAATCCCAACGACCCTACATAGGACAAGTAGTTTAGAATATGGATGAATACAATATAATTTTTAATTATAAATTAAAATGTAACAGATAATGACATAAGGAATAATAATAATAATGATGATGATGATGATGATGATGATGATGAGATAATGGAATACTGTATAATACACATACAAATTAAAATAAATAATATTAATATTTTATTATACTTTTTTGAGAAATATTAAATGGCCCCTTTGGGTGTTATAACAATCATATACAGTCTGGATTTTAAAAAAAATTAAATACTGAAATATGACTCATAGGCATCATAAGATGCTAAAGAGAAGCTGTAATGTGAATTTAATGCAAATTTTCATGTTATCATTAATTTAGAGAAGTGTGGTGATAAATGGATCTCAAAGCAGCAAACTACAGGATTAGACCTTAAAGTAGCTCTATAGTGCACCTGAATATACACAATGTTATATATCATATGATAAACATACATGAAAACAATACTGATTCTGATATCTACAATGATACATTTCTCCAAATCTTTTCTGATGAAGAAACAAGTCATGTACATCTTGGATGACCCGAGAGTGAATACATTTTCAGGAAATATTCTTTTTTTTTGGGTGAACTATTCCTTTGAAGGCCACATTTGGTTGGTAGCTATGTTATTTACTATGCTAACAACTGGTATGGTTTTATTTGTAAGGTTAGAAGACATGCAGTACAAAGTAATCGTATTACACATTTAACTAAGCATTATGTTCAGGGATAAAAACAAAACAACATGAAAACACACAAATAACATACAAACTGGCTAGACGGAGAATGATGGGATATTGAAGGAAACGATCCTTAAGGGTAAAACATACATATATTTAGGAGGGGAAAAAAAAAAATCACCAAGACACCATGCCCTGCACATTGCATTTAAATATGGATCATTGCCAAACCCTGCCAGCAAATTCACAATCAGATCTGTGTGTTGGGTCAGTACCAGCCCAGGATGCTAATTTGGTTGGGTTGATCAGTGAAAGGTGGCAGGGTTCTGGAAGACAACATGGGAGGGGAATGATGTCACAGACTGACAGACAGTATATAAACAGGACACAGATTTGGGTATGGAGCGGGTGGAAGTTGAGCTTAGGTTGGATTGGTACAGGACTGGACCTGTACTTGTTACCTGGAGAGTACTCATAGCTATCCAAACTGCAGCTAGGAACAAAGAGAGAGCACAACATTTAAGGGCCGCAGGACGTTTCTCTGTACCCCTTTAAGAAACACAGTTCTATTTTAAAGGAGTTGATAATCCATGAAAGAGTTTTTGATATTAATCTTCCAGTAGACATGACAGGTTAAATGCGGTGTTAGCTACTTCATTATTATTATTATTATTATAATACACATGTATTATATACAATTACTTAATCTCAATTTTTCTTATAATTTATTTGCTCAGTTCTACAAAAAAACATTAATAATAATTGTTTATTATTATTATTATTATTATACACATTAATTAATTTTAGCAATTATTCATAGCAACCATTATAAGTCTGACAACAGTAGACAAAAACAGCAGTAGAAAGGGAAAAAAATAAATAAGAAGCTTGTTGAGGAAATGTTTCCAAGCATTCCATGTTCAGTCTTTCTGGTGGATTTAATCAAATAAAATTGAAAGCATTTGTACTCAAAGCACTAATATTCAGGTCAGGTTTTTCATCTATATGTCATCAGAAATAAATCATTGAAGGCCAATTGCAGAGCAAAAGCTTTAGCTTGGTTCGGTGAAGAATAAACAAATAAAATGAGAAAATATGTCTCATGAGACATCAGTATGGGAAAAGTGCCTTTGCTCAGTTGCTCTGGATGATTAATCAAAAGTTCAGGAAGTTATGCGGAGCAAAGTAGCAAACTAAAAGAAATATTTCAAACGGTTCCAACAATCTTTGAGAACAAACACAGAAAGACTGTAGTTTGAGATCATCTTGATGTGCAAGAGCCCTTCCTGCCCCTCATTGAGGAGAGATAGAAAAGAGATTTAGACGAGACAGAAGCTTGTGAGAGGAGATAAGAACAGCTGTGGGTGCCTTATACCTAGAAAAAGCCTCTTCCAGACCATCATCCATCTCCTGTAAAGAGGAGAAAAATAGTCGTCGAATTGTAACAAGACGAGCAAAGATAATGGTCAGCAGTCACTCGTGAAGTATCCTCCATGTGTACAAGGACAAGAACTTACCCATAGGGTGGTGCTGTTGTTGTTGGGTTCGGGAGGATGGTCCACATTTTCCACAGCAGATGAGTAATCATCAATGTCCAACAGGTTATCTGTAGCTACTGCTAGAATAGATACAAAGCCCATTAATGTCAAGGTGCTAAAGGGATAGATCACCCTTAAAAAAAAAAAATAGAAGAGGAGGCACAGAAAGTTTAAGGAGTTTGTACCTCCTCTTTTCAGGCGGACCGATCTCTCCGACTGTGAGCTGTTGGACGTCTCTCCAGCTGAATCCCATTTCACACAATTCTCTCTCTCTGAAAGTAGAGCAACACATTAATTTCATGCTGTACCATAAAATAAAACATACTTACATTTCACTGAACACTAAACGAAAAGTTTATCCCAAAGTGAAGAAAAAAAAAAAAAAAAAAAAACTCCACACGACTCTAGTCCATTAATTAATGTCTTGTGAAGTGAAAATCGGTGTTTGTAAGAAATGCATTTTTCAGGTATTTTAACTTTAAACGGCTGCTTCTGGCCAAAATGCGAGCCCATGCATTATAGTGATGTTTTTATCAGCTGTTTATCTACATCTTGGTGAATAAATTTTCATTTAGAAAATTTTCCATTCCTTTAAGTATTAATTTTACATTGTATTCTGGTCACATAGTTTTAGAAAATTCGTAAACTTCAAGATATATAAAGAATGTCTTTGTGATGCATTGACTGGCTTCGGTTCACCAAATATACAAATAAAATCATTGTGTGTGTGTCCATCTTTTCTATAATATGAAAAGGCAACAGAGCAATGGTCTGACTGCTATAATCAATCACGACAGCCTCAATGCTCTGAGAGCATATACTTCAAAACAAAGTGACAAATTATTTTCCATTTGTAGTGCATGATCCTCTGCAGTTACATACAACCTCCACATGGTTCTGCAGAGAGATATGACACTGTACCTTCTTTGGCAATCTCCCAGAACTCGAAGGCCACTCTAAAGGCCTGGGCCACCGTGAGCGTGACTGCCTGGGCCTGAGAGAACACAACGAGTCAGTCAGACAAGGAGGAGGACTGCAGAACAACATACAGATACAACATATATGCATCTATGGATTTCAACATCAGTCATCAGTGGTTTGCAAACTTTTTAGACCAAATACCATTGTTAATTCAAATCAAAATGCACAGAACTAGTCTTATTTTCACACAAAGCAACTAGATCAGAAACTAGAAATCTCTCACATATTATATATACACACACACACATGCATACATACACACAGTGCACAGCATAAATGAGTACACCCCCTCTGAAACTTAACAAATTCAGCAATTACTCTTTGCTTAGAAGACATGTTATGGTTATTTTAGAGATATAATATTCCAGCAAGTCTGCTTGATCAATTACCAAAGAAGAATGTTAAAATTATTCAAGAAAATAAAATGTTCTTATCAAAGTGATAAAATGTTGTGTACACCCTCCTGAAAGTTACAAAACAATAAAAAAAATTAAAATTTTTTTTTAAAAATAATAATAATTCTGGTGTAAGGTTAAGGCAAGTATTGATCAACAGGTAAGTATGTTGAACCAAAACTTAAGGCAAGTAATTTCTTGATAATTAAGTGTTATATGGTCCACTGAATCATACTCAGACTTAATGCTGACAACAATGAAACCACTTGAGAGAGAGAACTGTCAGGAGATTTATTCCTTAGCATAAAAGAGGACAATGTTACTTTGGCTATATTTTCACACTTAAAACAATAATTTGGTATTCCTCTTGTACCAAAGTAAAAACAATGGACTTGTGAAAAGGCCCCTGAAATAATCAGGTTTTCACTTTAAGCTTTCATTTAGTGATGAGTGAGTTTTTGCTAGAAAAAGAGCAGGAGAAACACTGTGAAAGTGTCTCAGAGCTGGCAAAATCTGTGAAAAGAGTGACACTTTATCTCAGAGTAAGATGCAGCCTGCAGAAGTGACATGCATGGTTGTTTATCCACACCAGAACTACTGACTGTAGCCAAAGCACAATAAACTCATTTAGCTTTTTCCAAGGCCCATATTTACAAAATAGAGACTTCTGGGAATCCATACTCTGGTCTCATGAGACCAATTCAATCATTTCGGATCTAACAGCATCTAACAGTTCTGGTGTTGCTAGAGGAGTACAGAGAGAAGTGCCTGGTTCCCACAGTGGCATTCAGTGGTAGTAAAGCTCTT